CTCTATTGCATTGATTTCTGCTCTGATTTTTATAATTTCCTCTCTTCTTTTGGCTTTGGGCTTGACTTGCTCTTCTTTTTCTAGCTGTTTGAGGTGTAGCATCAAGTTATTTATTTGTATTCGTTCTGTTTTCCTGATGTGGGAACTCAGTGCAATAAATTTTCCTCTCAGAACGGCTTTCATTGCATCCCACAGATTCCGGTAAGTTGTATCTGCATTTTCGTTTTCTTTTAGGTATTGTTTAATTTCTTCTTTAATTTCTTCTGTGACCCACTGATTACTCAAGAGTGTGTTATTTAGTTTCCATGTGTTTGCGGAATTTTTGCAGTATCCTTTGTCATTAATTTCTAATTTCAGAGTGCTATGATCCGATAATATGCAAGGGATGATTTCAACTCTTTTGCATTTGCTTAAATATGTTCTGTGAGCTAATATATGGTCTATTTTAGAAAATGATCCATGTACTGCTGAGAAGAATGTGTATTCTGATGTTGTTGGGTGGAACATTCTGTATATGTCTATCAAACCCATTTGTTCACAGGTGTGATTCAGTTCTGTTATTTCTTTGCTCATTTTCTGTCTGGTTGATCTGTCCCTTGGTGTCAGTGGTGTATTAAGGTCTCCTGTTACAATTGTGTTACTGATAATTTGAGTTTTCATTTCTGTTAATAATTGTTTTATATAACTGGGTGCTCTGGAGTTTGGTGCGTATATATTTAAGATAGTTATCTCTTCCTCTTGGAGTTTTCCCCTTACGAGTATGTAGTGACCTTCTTTGTCCTTTATGGTCATTGTTGGTTTAAAGTTCACGTTGTCTGCAAACAGAATGGCTACTCCTGCCTTTTTTTGGATTCCTGCTGCATGAAGAATTGTTTTCCATCCTTTGACTTTCAGTCTGTGAGTATCTTTCTGGGTTAGATGGGTTTCCTGTAAACAGCATATGGTTGGATTTTGTTTCTTGATCCATTCTGCTAGTCTGTTTCTTTTGATTGGTGCATTGAGACCATTTACATTAATGGTTATTACTGTTAAATGCTGGTTAATTGTAGGAATGTTATCTCTCTGCTGTTGCATCTTTATCTTTCGGTTCTGTTTAATTATTTGCTTTGCTTAGTGGTTTTTTCCTTTGTGTATCTAAACTGTCTTTCAATATTTTTTGCAGGGTTGGTTTGGTGTTCATGAAGTTCTTCAGCTGTTCTTTGTCATGGAAGTATCGTATTGCAGCATCTATTTTGAATGATAGTTTTGCAGGATATATCAGTCTTGGTTGGAAATCATTTTGCTTTAGGATCTGGAATACTTCACTCCATGCTCTTCTTGACTTTATCGTTTGTGCTGAGAAGTCTGCTGTGATTCTGATAGGTTTTCCTTTATAAGTGATTTGTCTTTTCTCTCTGACAGCTTTTAATAATCTATTCTTGTGTTGGATTTCTGGGATGGTGACTATTATATGTCTGGGTGTAGTTTTATTTTGGTTATGACTGTTTGGAGTTCTATATGCTTCACTGATCCTGATGTCAGTTTCTGATCTCATGCTTGGGAAATTTTCAGCTATTACTTCTCTAAATATCCTCCTGACATCCTTCATGTTGTCTCCCTCTCTTTCATTAATCCCTATCATTCTTATGTTATTCTTCTTTGCATCGTCTTGCAGTTGTTGAATTGTTGTTTCCTGGTTCCTTGTTATTTTCAAAAGATCTTTCCTTTCCTGTTCACTAGCTGCAATCCTGTCTTCAAGGTCTGAAATTCTATCTTCACTTTCATTAAGGCGGTTTTTACAACTTTCAGTGGAGTTTTTTATTTCCTGTATATCTCTGTGCATCTGCATTATGTATTCTGTTTGTTTCTTATATTGCTCATCTAGGGATTCTATCTTTTTGTTTAGTTCCTCCAATTTTTTATCTGTGTTTTCTTTAGATATATTTAGAATCTCTTTCATTTCTTTTATCATTTCTTCTTTTATCTGGGAGATTATTTCGAGTTTGAATTTCTTTAAAGCTTCCTGGAGTTGCTTGTCAATTTCAGTGGCTATTGTGTCCGATATATGAGGTGGATGGGATATATTTTCTTCTATATACATCGCTCCTCGGGTTTCTTGAGATGGGCTGGAGGTTTGAGGTTGTAATTTGGTCTTTCGTTTTGTCATTTTCCTATATTTCTGTGTTTCAAGTGTTATTTGAAAGCTTCCTCAGGATCTGTTGAAAATCCCCTTCTATGTTTGGAGCTACTGGGACTCTGGCGCCGCAGTACTCCAAGCCATTAGGCCTACAGAACCAGTGGCCCTCCTCTGCCTGCTCAGAACTCCGCAGTTCCAGACAAGCTGGGCCTCAGGGACACTGTGCGCCCACCTGCCCCTTGGAAGCTCCACAGTTCTTCAATCGCAGCCGGGTTAGGGTACTCACCACAGGCCGCAGTGCTTCAGGAACCTGTGGACCCTCCCTGGTTGCAGAGATATCCACAGTCCTCCAGACACGCAGAGAGGCCAGTGAGGGCACCCCAGATCTGCCCAGCTCCTCCTCTGCAGACCTATGGCCATGCGCGGCAGCTAAACAGGCTGGGCTAGGCTGGTAGTGTGGGCCAGCCCACCTATCGGGAGCTCAGCAGGTCTCCAAATGAAGCCGGGAATGGGGAGGCTGATGTGGAAGCCTCAAACCCACCTCTCTCCTTCACTGCACCTGGAAGCCTGAGGGAACTCCAGCAGTCTGGGCGCAGAAATCCAGAGTTCTCCAGGCATGCAGAGAGGCCAGTGAGGGCACCCCAGATCTGCCCAGCTCCTCCTCTGCAGACCTATGGCCAGGCGCGGCAGCTAAACAGGCTGGGCTAGGCTGGTAGTGTGGGCCAGCCCACCTATCGGGAGCTCAGCAGGTCTCCAAATGAAGCCGGGAATGGGGAGGCTGATGTGGAAGCCTCAAACCCACCTCTCTCCTTCACTGCACCTGGAAGCCTGAGGGAACTCCAGCAGTCTGGGCGCAGAAATCCAGAGTCCTCCAGACACGCAGAGAGGCCAGTGAGGGCACCCCAGATCTGCCCAGCTCCTCCTCTGCAGACCTGTGGCCAGGCGCGGCAGCTAAACAGGCTGGGCTAGGATGGTAGTGTGGGCCAGCCCACCTATCGGGAGCTCAGCAGGTCTCCAAATGAAGCCGGGAATGGGGAGGCTGATGTGGAAGCCTCAAACCCACCTCTCTCCTTCACTGCACCTGGAAGCCTGAGGGAACTCCAGCAGTCTGGGCGCAGAAATCCAGAGTCCTCCAGACACGCAGAGAGGCCAGTGAGGGCACCCCAGATCTGCCCAGCTCCTCCTCTGCAGACCTATGGCCAGGCGCAGCTGCTAAACAGGCTGGGCTAGGCTGGTAAAGTGGGCCAGCCCACCTATCGGGAGCTCAGCAGGTCTCCAAATGAAGCCGGGAATGGGGAGGCTGATGTGGAAGCCTCAAACCCACCTCTCTCCTTCACTGCACCTGGAAGCCTGAGGGAACTCCAGCAGTCTGGGCGCAGAAATCCAGAGTCCTCCAGACACGCAGAGAGGCCAGTGAGGGCACCCCAGATCTGCCCAGCTCCTCCTCTGCAGACCTGTGGCCAGGCACGGCCCTAAGTTTTGAACTATATTTATTCAAACTCTGTTTATTCCAGCAACAATGTATTTTAACCACGTTATTTTTACCATGTAATTTAATTACTTTTATGTATTTTATGAAATATCTATGTAGTTGTTCTATGGAAATAAAATTGAATGTACTAGTCAAAAGCATTCTATTATTTACACAGAAGAGAAACTAATACAAAGGAGCAAATCAAAGTCCACGTGAAGTAAGAATTAGGAGGGCTTTAAATTGTTAAAACGTTCAATATATTATAAATCAGCAAGAAGCTCTGGTGTGAGACTGCACGGTAGGGTCTCTATCGGTAATAATGTAGTATACATGTTTAAAGTTAGAAAATTATTAAAGTTTTCACCACAAATACTGTAAATGATAAATGGCTGAGAAGACAGTTATACTTACATTTATTTAAACATTCCGCAATGCATACACATATCGAAACATAATGTTACCGTGTTAAGATGTATATTTTTATCTCTTTATATATCAGTTTGATATAAAGAGAAAACAAAACTAGAAATTATAAACTATTTGTTACTGGGATAGCCAGAAAAACAAACAAAAGAATACAGAACTATAATTAGGAGAATCAGATACAGAGGAAAGAGCTACACTTTACTCATAACATTGGCAAAATTTTAACCTAAATGTTAATACTGATTAATATTATCATCTATAATTCTCCATATTTCCTGACTCTTTCAACTAAATTTTTATGTTAGCTCCAAGTTCTTATCATAATCACACAAAAAGGCTTCTACTAAAGGGCTACTGAAGTGTTCCTTGTACAACACCATAGCACCATCTTGGGAGTATGTTAGAAATGTAGAATCTCAGCCCCACCTGGGGGATGCGCCCAGATCTGTGTTTTCTAAGCTCTGTTCTGGGAATCTGAGAAGCACTGCTATAACTCTACTGTACCCTCCTGTCACTTGAGGCCTGAGCACAGCCCTTCAGGAAAACGATAAGGCACAAGACCTTTCTTTTCATTCTGACTTGTTATGTAAAAATGTGACATTCACTAGGGTTAAAATTTTGTATTAAAAATGTCAGCAAAGACATGCTGAGACATGACTAGTTTCAGTGCATTAAGGTGGTAATTGGTGATGACATGATTTCCATTCTTAAAAGTTATTTAATACAATCACCATTTATGGTGAAAATATCCTAATTAAATTGTTTAAAAGCACCACTGTTTAAAATTCATACTATACTCTCAAGGCAGAATTCAGTATATATGCCACTGAGGAGGAACTGAGCGCAGAATTTAAACACTCAACTATCTGAAACACTGTTGCAATGTCACTAGCCAGATGCTATATGTAAAACATCAAGATCTATTATCTTTTTGACAGATAGACTGTTATAGAAATCAGTTTTAAATAAGGATGCCGCTGATACCTGAATTATCTTCATCTTTGCGGATTTTGAGCTTTACCAGATCTTCACACTGCTGGAGGATCTGAACTGCGTCTTCCATGGAACAGTTGTCCAGCCGGATGTTATCTATTGCGAGTAATTTATCCCCAAGTTCCAAGGTTCCGGTTCTGTTAGCAAATGCACAGAAGCACATGACAAATGATAAGCACTTAATTCATCATTTAAAGAGACATTAAGCATAGTGTAGCCCCATGGGAAAGAGAGAAAAAGCAGTTCTTCAAATGTTTTTAAATTGTACTTTGTTGACAAACATTCATTTTTTCCTACTTTTATTTGGGATGACATTAAGTTGCAGAGTATTAAAAGCATTTTAAAATGCCTTCTTCAATTAAACAAGGACACCCACGTAATGGAAGTTTCCAGGAAGGGAGGTAATGGACTGGGGCCTGCAGGGACCTCATGTCTTTGTGCTCCTTTACTTTTGAGCTTGACAATCAGGCACTAGCAGGGACTAAGGGAGTCAGGAGGTCAAGGTGGATGGAGTTAGCAGAGACCCAAGACTTGACATCCTTGCCATTTCCAGTGCTCCTGGAAACTCATAGTGGTTGAAGTAGACTGACAATGTACATACGAATCGAATGTGATGCTACCTGTTTGGAAGTGGTGTCTGAGTATCTAATACTGGCTTTCCCAGTACAAGTCTATTATAAGTTTTTGAAGGTCCATAGTGAAATAAGAAAAATAGTATAAGTGTAGTATATATGTCTTCATATATGTATAAATGCATATATATTCTTATTTGTAAGAAATGACCTTTATGCATTTTGTCTCTAATAAGAGACTGCTAAGTATTTTCCAATATCCACCCTTCCTTTCCATCTTCTGCATGCCCTGACTCTCTCAGCATCCTTCACGGCCCCACCTCCTTCCTACGGCTAAGAAACACAGCTGACTGCCAGGTCAGGCAGAGCTTCCCCAGCTCTGGGTTGCCTGCGTGCCTCTCAGCTGCATACGAAAGAGGTATTTCTGTCCTGTGTAACCCATGGTGTTAATATGTTCCTTTTTCATAGAAACTGAGCCTGTCCCTATATTCCTAAACACATACAATGTCTCCTACTTTTGAGTGTTAAAATATTGTATTTCCTTTAAAGAAATGACTGTGGTAACAGAATTTTAAAAAAATCTTTCATTGAAAAATAGTCTTTTGTATTAGTATATTGAATTACCTAAAAAGTATTTTTGATCTGTGAAACAAAATGTTTGAGATAGCCTTATTTTGATGGTATATGGGCCAAAGAGATATTGCTTAAGGATTAAGGATCTTGCTTGCCCAGGGAGGCCTTTCTGGCATCTAGCGAAACTATTTAACCAGTTATTATATCTGGAGGGGTGCTTTTCCAAATTGAGGGCACTGTTAGGGTTTTAACTGGAAAATCAAAGGTAGAAGATGGTCAGTGAATAAGAGCCCATGCAGAACTCACAAGAGACTCCAAAACACTTTCAGACAATTATTGCTTGTTCTTGCTGCAGAAATAAAATGATAGCAGAGGAAAGATCTATGTAACCATTGCCACCTGGGATATAAAATAAAATTGATGGATAGTGGTGCCTGGACACTACAGAAAATATCACAGTCCATTAGTAGGGCCCACCGTGGGTATGGAAGGGTCATTTCTGCTTAAATTAAGAGATACCTTGGAATAAACAAGAAAATACGTTTTCCTTACCTGTGTGCCACACTTCCTTTCTTGATATCTGAAATGACAAGGGGGTCTCCTGGTTTCCTACTGGATGGTGCTGTAATGATGCAGGTAGAACAAATTACATCTTTATTTGTATGATCCACCCAGTACCAGACATTCTCCTCTCTTATAATAACTGTTAATACAAGTAGAATTTGTACACAAAAGCATATGTATTCAGTAAATGAATTAGGAAGCATGTGTACTATATAACATTCATGTTAAAGTATTTATAAACTTAAAACCTAAGGCCAAGCCACTTAATTTGCAATTGGAGAAAGCAACAGGAGAACTGTCCATTAAGGTTAAATCTATTTTAATCAATGATTCTCAAGGGAGGACCTGAAGGACTGGTTCCTCAGTAAGAGAACACTACAGTCAGTGGGGGGCTCCCTTAGTGATGTTGGAATGGGCGCATTTCTCCCATCCTTCCTCCATTTCTTTCCAGGAAGGAGATATCACTGTTGATGGGAATGTGTCATTGTTACTCAAGTACCTCAGAACAGATAGTGAATAAGAACCACTAATATAAAGTTCATCCCCCCCCCAAGGAAAAGTCTTTTGGTAGATGGACTATAAATCTTTAAATTCTGTTCACAAATTCATATTTTAAAAAGTCTGAAATATGCTGGAATGTGGCTATTTCATTTTACTGACTGTAGTAAACATTTTTGTTGATAGGTAATTAAATTCTTTCGCATCCTGCTATAATAAACATGAACATAGAGCTTTACAGTTATAGAAAAGTCATCATTCCACACAATGGTCAGTTTTAGGCTTTATAAATTTTTTTACAAATATTTCCACTTGATAAGAATGAAAAAATTCTTAATAAACTTACTTAAAATCAGTTCTTCAAATGAAACACAGTCCATGTATGCACAAAAATCATCTTGACTTAGATTTCCATTCAATTTAGGAGTTTGCTACTTAAAAATTATGCATATAAACATTTAAAAAAAAATAACTGGCATCTGAGAGATGTTTTACCATCCTGAAGCCTGGAATGATTTCCTTTTAGAGATCATTAAAAGGTCCCTAAAGTAGGATTTTATTATAAACAGCCTGATCACCCCATAATAACCATAGAACCATTTCATATCCCATAATCCCATCTGAATCCCAGGAAAATGTTTATGCATAAGAACAGATGGTTTAATATCTCAACACAACATTTAAAGAAAAAGCAAATATTATGAATACCTTACCCAATGTCTACATTAGTTCATGGTAAATGTTAATGAGAATTCATATAATCATTATAGTTAGCTTCTAACAAAGAATGTAAAATATCTATTCACTACAATTACTTCATTATTTAAAGCTTCATTCAATGATTTCATATATTCCTCTAGAGCATTATAAACATCTAGCATTTTTACTCATGTTGTATTCCAAAACTGCAAACTGATCTGGGTATAAGGCACAAAAATAAAACTTTGTTATTATCAGCAAGCATAATTTTTTTAGTATCTGCCAATGAATTTACATATTTTGCCAAGCTGTAGTAAACAACATGTAGCACTCAATGTTTCTTTTGGTTTTAAAAATACCTATGTTACACTGAAATGATATGTGAAATCCAACAATAACAGAAGCATCAAAGCATATCCAAACCTATGTCTGTCATTTTTCTAGCCGCAGCAAGAACAACAACTACTTCAATACTACTGTGATCTTTTGGACAAATCCACACAGTTTTTCAAAGAAGCTGAAAATTTCTTATACTTTGTAGACTTGCATGGTAGCTATTCTCGCATTTACTAGATTTTTCTCTTTCCCCTTCAGCTAAATTTGGAAGTTTCACAGAGACTTGCAAGTTTCACAGAGCGGGGTGAACCGAGGAGGATGATTACACTAAACCCCAAAGGAAGTCCACATCTGTATAAGCTTCTCCTGCTCTGATATTTTTACTGTACATATTAAATGTGGCAATGCATGGTCTGGGGACTCAGTCATGTTGTGCATACCTACCTCCATGTGTCAGTTTTCCAGTACTCAAGAAGTCACAAATGAAGCATGATTTGGTTGGTTTGTAGTACTCTAAAACATGTTGTCAACATTTAAAAATGTATTGCTTTCATACAGATATATGCTTTCTTTTTAAGAAACAGAATAGTAATATAGTTGAGTGATTATGAATTGGGTTGTGGCAACCAGAATAGATACTTTCAAAATCTTGGCTCTACCAATTATTAGTTATGTGTGTTTGTGTAAACAGTCTTCAAGTGCCTTAGTTCCTCACCTGTAAAATGGTACTATGAATAATAAAATATTTACCTCAAAATTTGTGTTGGGAGGATTATGTAACTTAGTACATATGAAATGATCAGATCAGAGCACACAGAATTCAGATTTAAATGTTAACTGTTTTTATGCAACAACACTGGCTTCACTTTCCCTCTTCTCCCTTTAGATGGAGACTTCAGTCTCCTACTTGCTACTCTCCTCATTGAGCTGATCTTACACACCAATTTGCCTCACCCCACAGTGTTTCTCAGTTTGTGGCTTGTTTGAACAACATCACACTTAACACAACTCAGTACTTTGAATGTGATTGGGTTTCTCCACAGAATCATCCACTTACTTCACACGTATTTAAAGAACATCAACCATAAACCAGGCATCTCTGCACTTGGCATTGGCTATAAAACCTCAAAGAAGTTGGACAACAAGGAAAGACATGCTGGATAAGACTCATGAGATCATTAGGCATGAATTGGTGTTTTGTCTTCAACGACATGATTCCAACTGAGAAGGCCACAAAAACATGTCATGGGCTGGGCTGAGGGTTCATTGAGTGGGGCAAGAGTGTTGTTCATAAAAGAAGGGCACAGGAAGTCATCAAGTACTGGGAGAGAGAGAGAAAACAATCAGAGCGCCCTGAAATCTCAATTAACTGGTAAAACACACAGGGCTGAACCTGACAAAAGAGAACATGATGCTAAATTGTTTCAAATCACAGATATTAAATTTAAACCACTGCTCTTTTCCCACTTACACTTCATGAAATAATTTTAATTCAAACTCCACTTGTATCTCCAAGATCACTGTTATTACAGTTCTGGAGCTGCACTGAATCATCTACAAGATAGTTCAGAACTTGAGCACCATCGTGTCTGTCTAAAGCTCTTTTGCAACACAGAAAGCCCAGGTCACTGGAAATTTGTTCTCAATTCACAAATATACCTTTGTACAACATTACAAAATCCATTGAGTTGATCTTTCTCATCCATTCTTGAGCCTCACAAGGAAACTGCTTACTGCATTACTGTTTAAATTTTACTTTTTATTTGTATCAAAATTATAAATGTATACTTTAAATAATCAGTTCTCTGAGAGTAGTCCTCAATTTTATGCTTTTCCAGATGCAATGATAGATGGTCCCCAAGTTAACAATCATTTGATTTAATGATTTTCAACTTTATGATCATGTAAAAAGAGATATATATTCAGTAGAAACTATTTATTGGAAATTGATCATTTTTTTCTGCTTCCCTGACACAATGTATAAAACTTTCCCTCTTCCTTAGTACTGGAACCCTCTTTGTCCAGGATCCTCGGGATGACATGCCTCAGGGGGGTCTGTATCCATCTAGGGGTTATGGGCCCATCTGTTTGGAAATGAATCCATCAATTCTAGGAGATTTGTTTCTTTGATACTTCTGTATCTTTGTGTAATGTCTATTACGTCAAAGTCGTGTCATTTGGGCTTATTTTTGTATAATATTCTTTCTAGATTACACATTTAGTTGTTTTCTTAAAATTTCTATGAATTCTTCAATTTAACCCCAATATTTTAACTGAAATTTTCATTTTTTTCTAAATTTTTTAAGAGTTCTTTGTTCTCCCTCTGGAGGCAATTTTGCTGTACATTCCTTGATTGCTCCTATGGATGCAATCTTATACTGCTAATGATGTTAAGAACAGATTTTTGTTTGTTTTATTTTTCTTTTTTCTAAATGCACTGTTTCTTTGATTCTTTTCTTTTCTTTAAGTGATAGTCTTGTGTATTAGATTCAAGTATCTAGTTTCCTGTTTTTTTCCCTAACTTTCTGTTAATAGTACAGTGAAGACAACAGTCTTGTGTCTCTGGTTTAGATGGTGCCAGTTCTTTCTCCTACTTGGAGGTATTGAACCCAGCTAACCACCTGCTATTTATGAGTTTAATGGGAAAGAGAGATGGCGGCTTCATTATTCAGTTGGCAAACTTGAACTAAGTTTCTGCTTGTGGCATAGTATTGCAGTGTTAAACTGTGTTCCCCAGTCCAGAGAACTCTCCATGGTATGCTTTTCAGAGAATAAAACTCCAGGCTTCTACCAGGGTAGGGGAAAGTAGTTGTCTGTGCTGAATGGGAAAGGTTATCAGAGGGTTTCTTCATTCTTAGGATTTCAATTAGTTATCCTATTTTAGCTTCATCATCATTTTTACTTTTTAAAGTTTCTGATGTCACCACTTCCTGAGGCTCTTGGGAAGATATGCTCTGAATCAGGCTTCTTAGCAATTTTGGTCGCTCTTGTCTATATTCTTTATCTTTAGTTCTTCATAGATTTTCACCTTTTAAAAAACTTATACTGTCATTTAAAGGGAGTAACAGCACAAGTGAAGTCGCAGTAGAACTGTCCTTTAACCACAGAGGTGTTACAATTTCACAATGTGAGAAACTGATGATCATAGAAAACATGGATTTGTTTCCTCTCAACGAATTGTCAGAGAGCTGGGCACGTGTACAGTAACAGAGCCTACTGTGCATAAGACACTAGTTTCTATCACTAGTACAACCAGAAAAATTTTTTTCAGAGGAGGCATAAAATGACAGTCTCTATCTTTTGTTCATTAACTTTTCCTGTGTTTGAAGACAAGTAAACTCTTCTGAATTTTGAAGTGAGTTAAAGGGGAATAAACAAAGCAGTTCAAGAACATTGTATAATATTCAGTCATTTGTGGAACTTACTCTGATAACCAAGGTACTTAGCTCAAAATTTGATGAAACATCCAATCTCCATTAGAGACATTGTATTTCCTTCTCTCATTCAGTTCTGCTTTAATTGCAACCATATACACAATATGTGACAAGTACAAGAAATTATTTAACTTGAAATAGAGTACTGAAGAACATTTGTATTGCAAACTCAGTGAACGCTATGAACCATTCTCTTCTAAACATGCTTAAGACTTAGGGGGAAATGATAGATTTGTTGTGCTTGTCAGAAGGTTTGTTTTATGATTTTATAAAACATAAAGCAAGCCTTCATTTCTGCAAACAATTCAGACACAACTAAAAGAGAAAGCCAACAAATTAACTGCACTCACAAAATGCTACCTTTTGCTTTTCTGATATAGGATCTGGGAAAGGTTCATTAATCAGATGGCAGCAGCACTGAGTGCTATCGTGACAGAAAAGGCAGGCAGAAATGGGCCTGAATCCCTGTTTTGCCTTTATTAGTTCTGTGTTTTGGGGAGATTGCCTAGCTAAGCCATATTATCCTCTCTGTAAAATGGGGATAGATGCCACAGGGATGCTTCGAGATGAAATAAAACACATAAAACTGCATAGTGCAATGCTTAGCACAAAGTAAACATAAATCTCTGCACTAAAATCACAAAAGAAAACACCAACGTGAAAAGAACTGACGCCTGGGTTCTCTGATGTTAGAGGCAGGTGGTCTGTGCTGGAAAGTGGTGAGGGCGTAGGGAGGTGGCTGGCAGCCCCAGACTGTACCGCTCTGCTAGGCCATTCTGCTTTATCTACTGTAATAAATCACTCCATATTATAGCAATATCACGAATACAAGTAATGCCTGATGCTAATGTGCTATGCATATTTCATCAGGGACTTAAGAAAATAGCCTAAAACTGCTCACCATGTCCAAAATTAGAGGGACTCATTTCTCAGTCAATTAGGTCTGCGGAGCAAGCCATAAAGGCTTTGATGGAGTGTGCGCTTCCCACCATGGAGGCTGTTCCTTAATAATTAGAGCTTTTACAAGGTGAAGAAGATCGAAGGAGGGTTTTGGATAAAGACAGAGAAAAAAACCAATAAACTCTGCTGTACTCGAGTTTCACTGGGAGTCCCTGTCTGTGTTTGAGAAGAAGGTCCCAGGACTGCCTGGTGAAGTAGGACAGCTATCATTGGCACCAGAATTTGTAGTCTGCAGCTGTGCTTGAAATATTTCACAAAGCTCTGTGTGTATCATCATACTCACTACCACTGGTTAGGGTCCACAATACAGACACTTTACACATACTAACTCATCTAATCTTGTCAACGATGCAGAATGAAATATGTAAACCACTTTACAGACAGGGAAATGGACAGAAAGGGCTAAGGAATCAGAGAGAGCGCTGTTTGGGATAAATTCTTGCACTTGATCATATTCCAAGCCAAGGCTTTGTGGTCCACGCAACAGACCTTGAACCAGCATCTATATTCATTGCCTCCTTTAAAGACTCATTTCCTGAAGGGCACAGTACTCAGGAGAACTTTGCTGATAAAGACTTCTTATTCATTCACACAGTGAATATAGGTGCCAGGACTGGGCTAAGCCTCAGGAGTTTACTGTCTCATAGCAGTGAAAATGCATAGCCCTGTGAAATATTTTTTCATTCATAGCAGTGTCTGTTTTCTCAAGTGGCAAAATATGAGTATTTCCATGAGGAAATACGAGCTCAGTATGGTGATGATTAGTAGTGCAAATGGAGCTGTAGCTCTAGAAGGGCTGACAAATGCACACAATGAGCTTAGTATCACTTCTCCACTCAGGAGGAGTACAGCACTTCCAGTTTTCATGAACAGCATTTGCTTATGGCTCGCTACAAGTCTACGGTTCAAACCACTTTTGTGGGGGTTTTCAGATTGTTGCCATTATTGTTAGTAAAATCAGCTTCAGAAGTAATGCTAAGGACATTAAGACCATCATCATAAAACATAATTATAAATGACTCTACACGGGAATAAAGCAAATATTTTTGTAGTTGTGAGTACATGACTACATTTCAAACAAAATAACCACAATTTTTCTCCGTATTAGGGATTTCACCTAGAGCTTTCATGTAGAGTTACATTCCTAGCCCTTTTTTATTTTTTTAAATTTTGGGACAGGGTCTTTCTAAGCCATTAAATTGTTCAGGTTGGGCTGGAACTTGTGATCCTTCTGCCTTGATCTTTCAGAGTGCTGGGATTATAGGTGTGTGTACCATCACAGCTGGTTTAAGTATCTATTTTTTTTTTTTTAATTGGTACCAGGGATCGAACTCACGACTGCCTGCTTGTAAGGCAGGTGCTTATGCCGCTGAGCTAAATCCCCAGCCCTAAGTATCTATTTTTTAATTTTTTTTTTTTTTTTTTTTGTATGGGATTGAACTCATAACCTTGTGCTTGCCAGGTAGGCACTTACGCCACTGAGCTAAACCTCTGGCCCTTAAGTATCTATTTTTAAAAAAGAAATACATTAAAGATTAATTTGATGAATCTGATTAAGTTGTATTTTTATTAATATCAATTTAAAAATATATTACGAAAAACAAAAAAAAAAAGACCACCTTCAGAAGTAAAATTTAAGAATAAAATGGCAGTGGTGATAGAAGCATCCAACAAGAAAGTAACTTTAGAATACTCAGCAGCAGTATTCTAAGGTCTGAAAGGACAGGGCATACATCCTCAGATTGACGTAGGCTGACAGTATGGTGAATGAAGACAAAAGAATGGAAAAACGGAAGTGAAGGTAGGAGCTCTGTGTTACGCACTATGTAACTGCCAGAGAAACAACACTTTCAAAACCTGCTCTAATGGAATAAATGAATGGAATGAATAAACAGAATGAATGAAAACAACATTAAAATTACATGGGACTGTAGAAGACACTTGAGTTCAAAATGTTTTTTGGAATACAGTAAGTTCTGATGTGTCCTCCCTTAATCTTAGTAGCCCAGCTCTTGACAGAATAATGACCTACAGCATTTGCTTCACAGTGAACATTCTAAGAGGTTAAGTGACCCAATTAAAGGCATAAACAACTTTGGTAGGACTTAAAATCAGCGAACTTTCATTTCATCTTTCTACTTTTCGCCGAGTAGGCAACTTTGGGCTGGGAAGGGAGGAATATATCACTCTGTCCTATATTGATGGCTTCTTATTCTTAACATTTATTCTGAATTATAGTACAGTATGCTACTTTTAGAGTTGCAGTAGATTCGTGTGGTTTATCTGCTATAAATAAAATTGTACTTTTTAGTGTTAAATTTATGACATCAAAGTTGAATTGGACAGCCCATTTTATTCTGTTCAATCAAGGACTCTTTTTATTTATTTTTGACTTAACCACCGACATAAATGCTATCCACAATGTGGTGAGGCACTTTTATGTAGCCTCATCACTCTCTCTTGAAGGGACCACCTCTTGGTCACGATCATTGCCTCTATGTCTTCTTTGGTATTTATGTGTTGATCATTTGCTTTATTTTCTTGGAGTATTTATGAATGAACTTAGTTGGTGGATATAAAAGTACAAAAATGCTTCAACTTCCATTCTACAAAAGTCCAGAGGGACTGAAACTTTCAAAGTTGTTTCACCATAGGTAAAACAACTTAAGGAAAGAAATCAAACACATTTATACACTCTGGTTTTATTTTTATGATTGGTTACCCAGCCACTGTTTGTACCCTAGAAAAATCCAGAAATTTAATAAAGTAAGATACATTTTACATGATAGACTATAGATAACAATGAATTACAGATGCTCAGTGGACACACAGGAAGAGAATCTTAAAAGTAAGTAACTATGAGTTTTTATTAAGTCAGTAGGTTATTATGAAAACTCAATATATCAATGCTAACTGAAAAGAGCCTACAGACACTTTTTTGTTACTCTAGCTATTCATAAGGAATGGGGACAATTATGTGAGACATATTTATTGAGTACTCTTTTGTTACTTGCTAGGTTTTAAACTAGGTAAATAAATATTTCATGTGCTATTTTAAACAACATATTTTGTAGATATTCTTATTCTCACTTCATAGATAAAGAAATATAATATCAGAGTTTAAATATTTGTTCCATTCTCAAAGCCAGTAAGTGCTAGAGTTGACTGGATCCACAAAACTGGACGAGGATACATAAAACATTTGCCATCTCTATAAATTATTTGACAACATGGTTTTCTAGTGTTTCTTTTAAAAATTCTGTATTTTAAGAGAAATCATTTTTACTTACAACTTATGGTTATTCCAAGTTCCACATTGTGCTTCTTAGGGAGCTTTACATGAAATGTTCCACTACTTGGGATGACAGACTCTGTAATTTCAAAATGAAAAGGAGTGTGTTTAAAGATCACAAGGAAGATGGGTACATCAATCAATGAAATGAATCAAGAATACTTGCATCATGATCACTAGTAGTTAAATCTGCAGGACCAAAGTGAGGTGATTGCCTGTAAAATCAGAGTAATATTCTGTGATGAATGTATGTTTTACCCATGGGCAACTGTGCATAATTCACAGTCATAGTCAAGTTCTATATTTCTTAAGTGTGATGCACGCAAAACCTATAACACATTTACCTGGGAGACAAATAAAAAATACAGGTTCCCAGATCATTCCAGATCTATGAAATCAGGCTTCTAAGGATGGAGCTTAGAAGTCGGCATTTAAAACATGTCCTCCATGTGACACATAGCATGCTAAAGCTTAACAACCACAGCTCTAGTTGTATTTCCACCTTCGCGTTTTCCCAGCCTTTATTGTTCAGCCTCTCTCACCCCATTGTTTGAAGATAGCTGGGGAAATAGATTTTGGGAGGAAATACCAGTTGGTTATGATTGATTGGTGATAGGGCTGATAGCTCCCTTAACTTATAACGTTAACAGTGAAAAATATAGCAAAAGAGATAGAAGCAGCAGTGATATTAAAAAAACATTTCATAACCAAATCAAAATGGCCCTGTTCATAACCAGTTATACTGGATGCTGACCACAGAATTGTATCACATGGCCTTAGAAAGCCCCATATGCAGCAAGGGTGATGTTTTGACTCTAGGAAAACCCAGAGCAGACCAGGGTACCTCAGAATGGACTGATAGTGGGCTCTGACACTGGCCAGCTAGTAGAGAAGTGAGTAAATTGGTATTGCACAGCATGGGAAGAACCAGTACCTGCTGGGTGATTCTCAGCCTTGAGAATCTCAACCTTAAGAGAACTAAGATAATTTATATGACTGACATTTGAGACAGGAGGAAATTGGTATACATTTTTAAAAATTCCCTTTATAGTTTAGGAGACCTTTAATTAATTATAAATGGAAATATCCTCTAAAGACAGAACATGTATTCATATTAGGTTACTGAATATTATAATTCATGTTTTTTTTTTTTTTGGTACCGGGAATCTAACTCACGACCTCGCACTTGCCAGCAAGCACTTGTGCAGTTGAGTTAAATCCCCAGCCCCCTACAATTCTTTCTTGAAGATTCAGGAGAAAAAGTGGGAAGAAGCACCAAGCGCAAAGGAAACATTAACAGAAAGGCGAGATTGTGGGATGGGTGAAGCAAGCATTCTCAGAGTCTCATCAGCTTTAGGAGGCTAACGTCCCATCCAGCCTGTGGTGTGGGTAGAACTGCTAAACCCTCAGGCTCTTAGTTCAATTTGGCAAGCACAAGTTTAACTCATTGTAAGTCTCAGCACAGCAGAGCTGAGTTAGGATTACACTCATGGATACAAATTATTCTCTTCCCCGTTTTGCCTTAACTTGCTCTTCTTGGCCTTTTGTCCTTTCTTATAAAACATTGAGGTAGTAAACATTTTACAAGGCTAGAACCTTATCTTCCCAATTAAGAAAGTTCACTGTTGAGTGTTAAACTAGAAGATACAATAATACTTTGATTCTCTTAGATCTCCAGGGCTTCTAGAAAGTTGTCTGTAAAATAAGATGCGGAAACGACTTCTCATTTTCCATTTTGTGTAGTGCTGCTTCTAGTTCTTCTCTGAGCTCTTTCTTTCATTCTATTCATTTATCCATGTCAGAGGGATATGAAAAATCTCACTGCCTTTCTCACTTCCTGGAAGCTTTCTAAACTTTCTCTGTGAGTGTCACAGACTGAATTAGTACCTCCTCAAATAACACTGTGTCAGGAGGTGGACCCACATTTATTTGTTTACTTACTCATTAACAATTTGTGCATTTTCTATTTCTCAACAGGACTTGAGACAAATAAAATTGTTTTATTTTCCCCAACAGATTTCAAAAAGACTGACTACTTTCATATATGGGGCAGAAAGAGGGAAATGAAGTAAGTAAAAAAACACTTGTGTGTTTTATTTCCTGATTGCAGATGCTGCAAATGTCATAAATATTTACTTCTCAAATATTTCTCCAATTCCTGCCTTCTCTCCATCTCTTCCCTGAATCCTTCTCATTCGTCAATATAGTGGGATGCTAATGGACATTTTCTTTCCATCTCCAAAGAGATCATTTCAAAAAGACTTATCATGCACACTGGGGAAGAAGGGCCTTTGGAAATGATCAGTTTTGCTCACAAGCTGGAGTGTATTTCGATTGTTGCGGATCAAAGTTCCTTAAAGAACACCATGATTCAGGTAAAGGAAATGGGATGGGATCAAGCAGAAATGTGCCACACAAATGCTTAGGGGTAGAACGGGAATGAATGATTGGATTCCTTGGATAAAGCACACAAGTGTCCATAAGTTAAGTGCACATGATGCTGCACTCTATGTGGAACCCATGTCACGTATGTGTGATTCTTTTAGTCTCACTGGTTTACAACCAAGTTCTCTGTGAACAGGGAGGGGGAGTACATGGTATGTTTGTATTTATGTATGTAGACAGAATCTTGCCCATGATGTTATCCTTATGCAACTGACGTCTTAGAATCACAGGGCCCAGAAAACACTCATTTATCATAGTTACTATAACAACATTTTGCTTTTATAAATTTTTAATGCAGGGAAGCCTGACCAAGATTAATAAGAGATATTATCATTTCCTGGAAAACAGTAATGGATCAGTTTTGATGACATAAGATCTGAAATATTCAAAATGATGAACAGAGATCAACTAATAAATCTCTTTGATCAAGTTGTGGGTCATTTTAATCCTTAAATGCCAATATGATTTATTTTATATTTAGCATTTTCCCTATATAATTATTTGGATACTAAAGGAAAGGCCTATTTAATTTGGAGTTTTGAAAAAAACCACCCAGGAGGGAAAGGTCCCAATATTTGGAAAAACAACAGGTTTAGAGTAAGTAAATATAATTCTGAAAACAAACAATGTTTATTTTCTTAGATTTCCATGTGATTATTTTGCCCGTCCCTGGTTTTGCTTTATCTTTGTTAATACTATAATTAAAAACACTTTTGGGTAAAAAGGTTTTCTTCTTTCCAATTTGTCTGAATTCTTGCCTGAAGCATTTATTGCTGGCACAGTAAGATAACCACCATTCATCATTCTGCACACCTCCTTGAGGAGTGGGAATGTTTAACTGCCCCCCCCCCCACTTAGAGGAAAGCACCAGGGGCTCCAGCACTAATGGCAAACATCTTATAGGGTTTTCAGTGAAGCTTCCTTGCAGACCAAAGCTGTATTTTCGCCAACCAAGTAACTTCAGAGTTAAAGAAGGATCTTCAGGTAATCCTGCATTTTGTGGTAGACTGGTATTTTAAAGAAGACCTAATCAATGGATAATATAAATTGTTATATACAATTTATAGACTTTATGGTATCAGATTTTGGTAAGGAATGTAAATCATTTAAAATTATTTATTAGAGTGATAGTATCACGAGCACCTTCAATTTAAAATTACTTCCTATTAATGCTACTGTGAAATTGTTTATATAGTTCGATTTAAAACAATAAAACTTAAGCAAAAGCGTATTCACAGTCATCTTTGAAATCATCTCTATGCCACTTAAAATCTATATAAAGTTGATGGTTTATCTTTAAGAATCAAAGGGTTGAACAATTAGTTTCTATATATAAAGTATTTCCAAGGAAGAATTTTGGAGATTGTGGCTCCCGTAAGATTATAGTAGAGAAGTTGAAATAGTTCACATCCAGAGATTCCCTAACAGTGTCCCAATTTATTGACTAGCTAAAAAGGATGGTTCTAACAGTTTCCCAGACATTCCAGTAGGTCAGTGATGACTAACTAGAATGCTTTTTTGAAAATCTGACGTTGTGCCTGCATTCAGCAGAACAGTCATACGCATTAGTGACGTCTGCCATGAGGAAGTAAGGATGGAATAATGGATGGATCTATTCCATCATAGATCGTTTCTGTCCACTTATAATGGTTGCTTTGTGGAACAAACAAGGGAAGGTGAATTGACTTTAAGTTCTTTTTTCTTGTCTCTTATTAAGCAAGCAAGGTACTGAATAAAGTTGGTTTAAGACAGTTCCTACTTTTTAGGTGCTTACACCCAAGATATTAAAGCATTAAATTAACTATATATATATATATATATATATATATATATATTATGTATTAAACAATGAACACATTTCAAGGATATGCAAAATGAAAATGCATTTGCAGCACAAGAAAACAGATCAGTTTGTGAAGAAGGTCACATTGTGCTGGTCTTTCAGCTATGGTGATTAAGTGCTGCAGAATGGTGAACCGCTCAGAAGGCAGCTTCCTGCCTGCGGCAGAGAGTGTCAGTAGGGCAGAGCTTCAGGAAGCCTGCTCGAATTGTTTCATGGTGGCAGCTCTAACACCCTTAAGTTTTTCAAACATTTTTCCTTTTTTTTAGTTTTTTCATCAGAGTCAGTATAGTATGATACGCAGAAATGGGCTACAAGTCAACTACTATTCATTTGGCAGTGTGACCCTCAGTTTCCCCATCTGAGCCTTGGCTTCCTCATTTATGAATAAGTGAGGGAGTCCTTTCACTGCTAACGTTCTCTCGTTGGAGTAAGTACACTTCAGGATTGCCGGACACCCTCCTTGTTTAAACACCATAACTTCGTGGTCCCTGATGCTTCTTACAGCGTTCTTCCATCTGACTGGTGCTTAGTCGCAGCTTATTCAAAGGAAGCGGCACCAAAACTAAGCTGCTCCATTAGATTTTTTCTCCCAAAATTAGAGATTAGAATTTACTGGACACTTCAGCAAACGTGGCACCACCACGTACCATAAACAGGGAAAACTTGTATACAGAGACAAATGGAAGAGACTGCAGAAAGAAACAAGCCAGGAGACACCAGGGACTCCAGAGAAAATGAGTTTGAACTCAGTCCTTGATACAAACGGAAATTCCTGACACTGGCTCAGGAGAGGCAACTGTGCTTCCTTCACTCAATTGTGCATTCATTCACCATGTATTGACCGAGAGCAGGCACTGTTTTGGAAACGTGAGGTACACTGGTGAACGAAAGGCACAGTCTCTCACATCACAGATTTTTTCTCAACTAGAAAAGAGAGACGATAGACAAATAAATATACAGCATGTAGCATTGTAGCATAAAGATTAAGAAGAACTATAAATCTAGCAGGAGGAGAAGGAGAGGGAAGAAGGTTCATCTGAGCTAGTAGCATTCGAACAAGGACTTGCCTAAAATGCACAGACCACTCACACATGTCAGGGAAGAGCCACAGAGGCAGAGGTAGCAGCTTCTGCAAAAGTCCTACACTCAGATTGCCGTTTGCCACATCAAGGGCAGGCGGCTCCAGTTCCCACTTCCTCTCAACACTACCGTCTTTTAAAAACACTTTTTTAAAACTGTTTTTAATTTTAAAGAGGAAAAAAAACCTCAGAAAAACCAAGAAGCAAAAAAACCAACCAAACAAACAAACAAAAACAACAAAAGCAGAATGATAACAAGAAGACAATCATGATACAGGATTTCAAACCAAGAAGATAGGAATTTAACAATGGCTGTTATATTGTATTTTGTTATCTTCAAAATAGTTGCTCAGGTTACCAGATACAGTTATGCAAAATTGATCAGACAATATAATTTCCTTTGAGTAGTTTCTTTCCCTTTAACTACACCTATTGTAACTTTTGGATCTTATTCATTCTTTCAATTTCTTATACTAGCAAGCCAATATGGTGTTTACACATGAGTCTGATTTATTTCACTTATGAGTAGGGTTTCTAGATGTATTCATTTACCTATAAAAGCCTTGAGCTTATCATTCTTTATGGCTAAGTAGTATTCCAATGCATAAAAATATATCTTTTTTTAAAAAATTCATTTCTCAGTTGATGGGCATTTAGGTTGTTTCCAAAATCTGGCTATTACAAGTTGTGCAACTATAAACATGGATGCATATGTAACGCTGTGATATGATGTTTTCAGTTCTTCTGGTAAAATACCCAGAAGGAGAATAGCTGGGTCAAATGGAACCTTTAATCCTAATTTTTTTTAGGACTCTCTATACTGATCTCCACTGATTTTATCAGTATACATTCCCAAGAACAGTATTTCTTCACAGCCTTACTAGCATTTATTGTTGGTTAATTTCTTGATGTTAGCCATTCTTTCTTGAGTAAGATGATATCTCAGTGTTTTAATTTGTATTTCTCGAATGCCCAATGGTGTAGAGGATTTTTCCATGCATTTATTTGCCATTTGTATTTATCACCGCCATCTTTGTGAGAGATCTGACTGTGTAGACAGTCCTTTGCTCACTCTGGTGGAAGGATCTTTACCTCTACTTCACCTCTCTGCCTTGAACCTTGGTTCACATTCCCTGAAATTCTAAGTTTTAATCTGTCACTGTCACTGTGACTTCAATGTTCTCTGCATTACCTTTATCAAGTGCTTTTTCTCACTCTGTGCATTTTTCTTCCTGAAGACCCATAGCTCCTCTAAGTCCTCACTCTGTCTATTAGGCGGATCCTTTGTTGACTCTCATCCTTCTCCAACTTGGATTCTTTTAAACATCGGCAGTATAGTGTAAGGGCTGGAGTGTGCCCTTTGGAGCTGGCCTTCTTGGGTTTTAATGCTACCCTTCCCACCATTAACTTTGTGTGCCTCAATTTTCTCAGGACATAATAAGATAACCTCTGCCATTGCTGTCACATGGATTAAATGATCCAGTGCACACACATTGTTCAGGAACCTGACAGCCCATAGTGTACCAACTTGGTAAAAATTATCATGATAATGATTATGCAATTACCATAATTATTCATCTGCTCTCCCAGCAATAATTTGAACTTCTTTGATGCATACTCTTATTCTGTTTAACCTTTCCTAGAAGTCTTAACCTAATCTTATTTTTCTGTTCTTCTACCTTGGCAGCTAAGATTTATTTTAAAAACAGCAACAGACACCAAACTGGATGGGCATGGTGACACACACTTGTAGCTCCAGCACTTGGGAAGCAGAGGCAGGAGGATCGCCGTAAGTTCGAGGCCAGCCTGGGCTACATAGTGAGTTGAAGGCCAGCCTGAATTATATAGCGAGACCTTGTCTCAAAAGAAACAAACATAGACACCAAATCAAAACAAACAAAAAATAATAGTAAAAAACCAAAAACCAAAAAATCCTATTTATCATACAGATTGATACTGCTATAAACTTAGAACTTTCCAGCCTCAGCTTGTCCCCCCACCTCCCCCAGACTGCTTTACATGCTTTTGGTTGCTTTCTTACCCATTCCCTTGAGACTTCAAATTACTGTCACACGTCACACTTGCCTCTCACCTACTGACCTCTCACCTTTGTGTTTGATGGTTCTTACAGGAGCCACTTAAACAGAGCCAAAATGTATTTATATGCTCACAACTTTTTCAAAGGTGAGATGCTTTTCCCCTCTGCCTACTTTTGTTCTATAAAAGCTTTTCCTTCTCATTCCTTTGGGGACCTGAGCCCACAGTGTACGTCCTCTCTTACTCATTTCAGGCTCCAACATGCTCAGATCTCTCCCATGTTAACAAAACAACGAAAGGACACTCCTCTGAACTACAAGTTTCCTCCGATCTGCTGTCCTGTCTCCTTTCTCTAAGGTTGCCAAATGTCCTCTGGGACAAAAATTATCCTATTTGAGAACTACTGAATATGGGATAAGCCAATATAAAACAGGAAAACTAGTATATAATGAAAAATGGCAGAAATTCTAAAAGGAAGAGCCCACAGTAGCCTCCAGTCTTTGTATTTAAAGTTGAGTTCAAAGTATCTTGCATTGCAAAAATCTTTACTGTATTAAGATAGTCTTGAAAAAAAGTTTTCCTTGTCATTTTTAAATGAATGTCTAATGCAATTTTTCCCTAACATTAAAGATAAAATGTTTGCCTAGTGGGCTTGTATCAATTCACCTCATAAATTTTCATCGTTCTTTACATAACTTTCATGTGCTTTCTGAAGTAGGCAGGGTCAAGCAGACTTTCCTTGTTTTTGAGAATCTGGATTCTTTGGGGGGGGGGGAGGGAGTTAGAAAGAATAAAGGCTACACGACTTTTAAAATCATCTCCACAGTGGTTATTACTTAATCCATTTGTCACATTTATTTTCAGTTGTTCTTATGGTAACATTTTAATGAATAATACAAAACCAATGCTCAATTCAAAATGATACCTCAAGCCTCTTAAACAAAAACATGTTTGCTATATTAAAAAATAGTTCCCTCTTGGCAATATAACCCATATAATTCACATGCAGCCTACTACAAACTGTGCCTCTGACTTGAGATCCAGACTGTACCTGCAACATCAAATTCGATTTCCAGTGTGACCTTGCTCGTGATGGAAGAGTTTCTGAGGAGCTGATTGGCTTCCTCGAAGGTGCTGTCTTCAGTTGGAATCCCATTGATGGCCATCACTCTATCTCCGATCTGTAGCACTCCACATCTAATTTAGAACCACATGTTATAAATTGTAGGCGGAATAAGTAATCGTTAAGTTGAACTTGTCAAATCTATCTTGTTTCATCCTTGTAAAACAGTACAACCATTTGGTTTTATTTACTCAATCCTATGGACATCACTTTAGGTAAACAGCAAGGTCTTGTTTTTTATTTCATAGTTACAACTGTAGGCAATGAAATCCCACAGTATTTTGGAGAAGTAATTAATAATTCATAACCACAGTATTGTTATAATCTAAACTGAGTCAGTGTACAGGGATGGTGAATGTATGGCAGAGAAATTATGCACTTCAGATTTTCTTGGTATGGAATTTTTCCTTTTTAATTATTGTAGCCTCTAGTCTCCTGATAGACAAAATCTGCTAGATAAATGCATCCATGCTCATAATTCTTCTCAAATCTGATCAAGAACATAAAATTTTATTGTCAGAACAGAGTTCATTACATCTTGCATTTCCTGCACTGAACCACTGCATAATTTATTAGCCATTAAAAGACAGACAGCACCAGAAATGCAGAGCAGAAAAAAAAATGCTGTGAAACAAAAGTGTCTCACCTTTCTGCTGGGCTGTCAGCTTCAATATAGGAAATCAAAGGTGGAGAAGAGAGAGTTTCTGTGGCAAACACGCTGCCCTGCAGTTGGATTCCAAATCCCGTGATGGGATCTGCTGTCAGCACAACCTCTGTGGTTTCCGTGTGAACAACTTGTCCAGCCAATCCCACTGTGCTAGAGGCTAAAGACACTAGAAGGATAAACGCATAAAAGAATCACTTTAGATTTAAGCAAATACCAGGAATACCAGCATTTCTGAAATAAATCATGCCCCCCTGAACAAGAACTCATTGGCATTTCAGGAGGTTTGAATTTTGGCTTTCCAGCAAAACCTCTGGCCGGAGGTGAATGGGATAAGTGAGTCTTCCAGGATTTGTCATGTGTCAGTTATAGTATCAGTGAAGCGTCTTCTGTCCTCCTACCCTTCAAAATATGAACTGTCGTAGGAGCTGGAGGAAAAGGACACCCTCAGGATCAGGGTTTGTGAATTCTAGTGTTGGCTCTATGACGGAGCATCAGCTGCCAGGACCTTGAGCGAAGCTATTTCACCTGTGTGTGTTTGTTCTATCTAGGGAAAGGGAGCTGGTCTAATGGGTTTTCCACTTGAGCCATCTGTGCTTGAGCTTTATTGACTTTCTATAAACCAGTCAGCTTTGAGCCTTGAGAAACATTAACCGAACACTGGCCCCAGAAGTGGTGTGGCTGTGATGGTTCTCAGTCTTCCTCCGGCACTGAGTGGGCACAATGGAATCATTAGCCATAAGTTCTTCCTGCCCTCAGTCTGTGTGCTTCCTACTGGGCCTCCAGTTTCTCTGTTGTCTCCTATTTCAATCAGTTCTCTAACATTCATTTGAGCCCCCAGCCAGATCTGCCTCTGTCTCCATCTCTCCTCTTCTCCTCTTTGCTTCGCTCTTCTCTCAGCTTCCCTTCTGGTCTCCTTTCTCTATCCCTCTTCACCCCCAGATTTGATCATGAAAGGACCACTCCATTCCTGGAGGCGTCTCTTAGTGCTGCCTGCTGAATTCAGCCACCTGTATTCTCAGAGAAAGCTCTCTGCCTCCAAGGCTTCATGCTGATATATCTCTTTCTTCAAAAACTTATCTTCTAGCATCATTACTTTAATTGAAACCTAATGACACCAGAATCCCTCCAATGACAAGCCATTTCTTTTACTCCTAGGTGGGACCAGGAAAGAGAAATTTTCACCTTGCCCCCTGCATGCAGTACTTTTTCCCTCCAATGACTTCTATTTAAATCTCTTGTTCTGTACTTATTTCTGCTTTGCCTCACCTTCAAACTTATACTTTCTACTTTTCAAAATTCCCTATTTCCTTGCTGAATTCAGGTCTTCAGTCCTAGTTTACTAACCCGGGGCTTTCAGTCCTCTAACCTGGGGCTTTTCCCTGTCCTCATCATGATGTCCTTAGCACGCTGGCTTTGTGGTTCTTCAGCTGCGTCAATCTCTAAGTCACCAGTAATTTCATCGTACTTCAGCTGTTGGTGCAGCCCATCTCCCTTCAAAGTGCACACATTTCCACGTTCTCAGTGTCTGAGTCCCCCTCATCACACATCCTTTATTAGTCTTCCAGGATCTTTGCCTCTCACACTCCACGTGGAGCTCTGAGGATCATTTCAGTGATGCATTTGCTACTCTCAGAGATCCTTAACCCTCCCGTGCTGTACTCCTGTACACCACACTATCTGGCAGTACTCAGCCAACTCTACGATTGTTACTAGGTTGCTGAAGGATGTTAGAGAAAATCACTATAACTTTACATTATTTTCTTTTACACCCTAGAATCCTTTGTAGGGTAATATTTTGGCAACTCATTTGATTTCTTATAGTATTGATTTCAAACATTTCTTTCCTTAAAGGATCAAACTTTATTCTTTATTTCATTTCATACAATAATGAAGAGATCCAACCACTCTGAGAAGTATTCCTTAAATAAACTTAATTTCAACTTCAGTTTCTCTGAACCATCAACCATTCTCCTTTTCTGTCACTTCTGACGTAAGCATCCTTTTATCTCAGGGCTAACTCTTCCTTTTAGTTATTTTGTAAAGTGTTGTTTCCTTTCTCCCTGTCTGCAATTTTGTGCCACACAGAGCCTTTCTCTTGCTGCTTTTTCTAACAGTTCTCACCCACTTCTCTACCTTTGATTTCTATTGATTTGTACTGATTCTGAAAGGGCTTCTGTAATCATTCTTCATTATTTCCTGGAAGTGTTCCAGTGATGATTTTGTAATAGCCAAAAATTGATGGCCTCATCTATTCTAGCGGTTCTGCAGTGACTGGCTTTAGGGAACATCTTGTTTTTTCAGAGTTGCTTTCTAGTTTCTATGAAATTTATTTCTTAGTTTACATTTTCATTCTCTGCCAGTTCCTGTGCGTTCTTCTGTGTATAAAACAGAGACTCAAATGCATTTATGTCTTAAGGTTCCTCATCTGTTTCCTCCTTCACCTTCTATGTGCCTATAACATGAGCTCTCCATGCATTTTCTCAACTCTACCTTACGTCTTTTCAAGTCTCAGTGATGAACCTCTCCACTTTGTAGACACTCTATCTGTAAATATCTTCCATCAGCTTCTCAAAGATAGTGTTTCTAAAATTAAGTAAATCCCCTTCCTTTCCTCTATTCCTGTGAGATTACCATGTTTATGGTCTTTCAGGCTTGAAATCTCAAAGCACCTTTGACTTACGGTTCTCTATTATCTCAGATTCCACCAGCTGCTAAGTTCACACAAGATGCATAGGTCTTCTTTTACCTTTTTATTTTCAAAATATAATATTTCATTATTTTTTTTAATCACGTATTCTAATACTTTTCAGGGTCCTCTCATGCTTGGTGCTTTGTAGATATTATTACCAGATAAACTTTTCCTTCATGATGAGCCCCAACTTACATGGTCCCCTAGAACAGAGCTTCATCAGCACTAGAACACATGATTGTACAGATATCCTGAGTGTGTCCTGGTCTGGTATCTTATCTAACATAGCTTCAGCTTATCACCAGTTTGGACTTTCTAATAGGCAAAGTTTTGAATGATTCAATGGATCTCATTTTCTATGAAACAAATATTTCAATTTTAGCAGTGCATGCAAAATTCTTAAGATCATCTTCTCCCACACATTCAGTCCCAAGTTCTTCCTTCCTCTCTCCTGTGTGCCATGCTCCAGGCCTGTGTGCACACTTTTGTGTATTAGAATATCCTGTGCCTTCTGATTTGTTAGTTCCTTCCCTGGCTTTTCAATGTCCCTTTATCTGATAATTCTAAATGGAATTAAGTATTTACTTTTCCACATTTCTAACATATCCTCCTTTTCAAGTTTTTATCAGGTTTTTATGTGGTTGCTTCTCTGTCCACTTGATCCTGAATTCTTGGAATGTTGGGGCCAGAGCTTATTATTTTTGAGATGTTAATTCATGGAGCTTTCAATAAATGCTAAACAAATGAGGAATTAATCAATTTTTGTACTATCATCTATATTTTCCTTCCTGGATCTAACACATCACGTAGAATGTGCTGAGTAACCATAAATAATTAGAAGTCATTATTCAGGACCCAGGCCTTTATGTTTTTAAAACATGGTAGATCATTGTAGCTCACAGGGTAAGGCAAGGTGAGGCGGGTTATTTGTCTAGGAGGAAAAAAATTGGAAAAACACCCTACTTTTCCTTGAAAGGAAACAGTATCATCATTCTCTCTCAGCTAGATTACAGATAAAGTAGCCTGTAATGTGTATATTAGAAGTATTCTCCAATCCTAGGCTTTGTATACAGGGAGGCCAATATCTGACACAGGTACTATCATATATTAATTCATATAATTTTCTATGTAGCTTTGCTGATGTTCAGTGTACTTTGTACGCCATGTTATACTTTTTGCTATTAGTGACGCAAACCCACTAGTCACTTAGAAAATATGGTTTTGTTGGTAGAGATCTAGAGAACTGTGCCTCTTTCCACTTTTAACAATGTTGGGGCATCATCTCCATGTAAGGTTACTTCTAGTCACCTTCTAGGAAAGCTTTTGAATTCTAACAGCAATGTTTCTGCAATGGTTGATACACTGTGTCAACTTGAGAAGTTTAGCTAAGTGACTCAGCAAGGAGCCAGGGTCTTTTGTAAACATCCTTATCCTGTGCAAGAGGAGGGCAGGGAGATGGTGTGATTGCCACACCCATCCTGGGGTGGGGTCAGGTGGTAGCCTGCAAACAATATAAGAGAGAAAAAGAGGCTTGTTCCCCACTTCCTTGTGCCCCCACACTTTATTCTTGCTTTTGTTGTCTTCTGCTATGTTGAACTGTTTCCCCTGTGCCATGCCACCCTGCTTTGGAACTAGTTGATTATGGACTGAAACCTCCACAAACTGTGAGCTGAATAGCTCTTTCCTTCCTTAATTTAGGGTGTTGGGAATTTTGTCCCAGAAATGAGGGAAAAGTAACCAAGATAGCATTCCTTTATGTGAATCTTTCTATAGGTTCACATCACTATTTTTTCCACTCAATATCTCAATTTGATTTAGACTTTTGAGACTACTGAGTTAAAAGCTGTTTGAAAAATCATCCTTTTCCCATCTCCATTAAGAAATAACCAGGAAGAAACAGGTCAAGTGAATAGAAATAGGTGAAAGTAGATTAGAGAGAGTGAAGCCCTCAAAAGAGAGACCTCCTGTAATTTTTTGAAAGGCACAGTTGAGGAATTAATTATACTCTTTAGGTTTTGGAAATATAAGTAAGAAATGATGGTGTCATTACTTCCATATGCTCTACCTGTGAAAACTTGATGTGATAAAAATTACTAGCCAACTTAATTTAGGACTTAAAGTAAATTTATGTTATAGATTGCTTTTGTAATTATATAGTTATAATTTATATCACAAATATATGAAATGAACTCTAAAAGGCCCCTAACATAACGGGGTCTAGTCTTTGAATGTGTAAAGTTTCATTCGAAATTGTATTGATAACATATATATCAGAGTCTTAGAAACCATTACCAAATATGAAAAAGATAAATTTTAGACTTACAGATGAGAAGTGAAAACAAACAAACAAACAAACAAACAAAAAAAACCCAACATTACTCGAAGGAGAAAAAAGATGAGCTCAATTATCGGCTTCTATTAATGTGGTCAACAAATAAAATAAACATGATTATAATCCTCTACTTGAAAGTTTGTTTGATAAATTCCCCTTCCCATAGCAGATACTCCAGTGTGGTAAGCAGTCAGCAACAGGCTATGAGCTCCTGGCAGTGTTTCAACGTGTCTACTTCTACTCAATGTGAAGACAAAGATGACTGAAATGCTGACACGTCTACATTTGAGTCTGGCTCCCTGGTGTGTGTCCAGACTGTGTTCAGGATTCATGTCTGCTCTTTGTGTTCCCATTCACAAATCCTAAAAGTTCCATTCATAGCTCTTTAGGTTTTCAGGGAATGACCACCCCCCCTGCCAATTCTTATCTTTTCAGGGGAAATCAAAGATAGCCAATGATTTTCAAGCTTTGGACTCTAAAAGATGAAAAACCCTCCACATTCAATTTAGGAGGCTGTTTACTTTCAGACATGACAAGCATTTAAAAAGTGTAGAGGGTGAGGCCCTGAAGGTTTACTAATGTAATGTATTTAATTATTTGACCTTGTAATTTGACATTCCTGTCTCACTAGGCCAATCTTTGGTAGACTCACCACACTACAGGTCATGTGGTTCAGTTTGGAAGGGTAGGACAGGTGGTGGATATCTTCCTCTCCAAATGGGGGTGGGGTGGGGAGTGAGGCAGCTTCTAATCTTTTTTTCTTGTCTTTTTCGTACCAGGGATCAAACTCAGGACTGCCTGCTTGCAAGGCAGGCGCTTATGCCGCTGAGCTAAATCCCCAGCCCCCTCAGCTTCTAATCTAAGCCTCTCCCTTTGAGGGCTTCCTGCACAGTCACTTTTCAGATAAGCTGACTTTTACCATTAGCTGTTAGTGGAAGGGACTATAAAATTTGTTAGTTTTAAACAATTTTCTCACTTTCACCCTTTCTAGTAGTAGTTGACGATAACCAAAGAAGTAAGGAGCGTTCTGGAAATGTGTTGTTCTAACTTCTGCGATTTGCTGCAATTCAGAAAGTCTGGGAAGAAGCGAAGCCTACAGGGCTCTGTGTATAGAAGCAGAAAGGAACGAGCTGGAGCCGCTGCTTAGTCATCCTGCCATGACAGGCGGATGGTGGGGTTGTGGAAGGAACTGTGTCCTCCGTGGAAGACAAGAGGACAGGAAGGGGTGTGACAGAAAGGCAGGTGAGACTCAGAGACAGGAGGACAGAGCTTCTCTATGACAGGACTCTCCAACCCTTGCAGGGCTTTGTGAGTTCAGGATACTCATTGCTCTCTCCAAGAAACAAACATAACAGTTCTTTGTTTAATCCTCACATAATATTGTCATAGACCATCTGTATTCCCCTTTGGTCAATGATACACAATGTTTTCATACTTATGTAAGAATATTTTATTCTTTTCTGGCTCTGTCCTTACTTTGCACTGGAAATACACGCGAGTTTGTGTGTGTGTGTGTGTGTGTATGTTTTTTACAACCTCTGGTTTCAACTCATCACCAATTCAGCAGAGATTTTTATTATATTTGTGACTTCTACCACGATTCACCATCCATACAAATAGCCTGGTTGCTATAGAAACATAAGTATTAGAAAGTGGGCAGCAAATGGTGGCACAGAATAAAGACATAAATAAAACAGGAAAAATAAACCAGGGTGTAATGAAAATGGCAATAAAATTTTTATTCTCAGTTACTTAGGAAGACCTTTACACCTAAGATGACCATATCAAGTGTAAGCAATAAAAAAAAAATTCTCAATTTTTTCTACAGAATTTGGCAACTATCATTGTTTTTAAGTCTTTCTGAGGTAGAAATGAAAATACATGGCATTTGGAGCTTTATTGTTTGACTAAAATGCAAAATTATGATCTCCTCAACCATACTTAGTGGTGATCTGGTGTGCTTAATGTCTACAGCAAACATGAATGAAAAATGTCTTGAACTGCATTTCTGTTTATATTTCTCCTACATCGGAGAATAATGCGCTGATTCAAGAGAAAAATTATGACTTGGTTGTAGGTATCAATGACAGTCTGGCTTCAGTTTTGTTTCCTACTACAAAATTCAAGACATGTAAATATCAGCTTGTCATAGGCAAACATATTATCATACATTTATATTCACTAATGGCCTTAATTAACACAGCAAGTCTTACCTAGCACAAATAAATGGCTAGTCTCTGAAAAAGCACAAACATTATTTAATTGCTCTTTCCTGCTGAGGACTGTTAGCTTGTTTCTGCCAACGAGGAGTACGGCAGTGAAACAATTATATGTAAAAACATTCCGTACATAAATGTCCTTCTCAAACCCTGATGACGTTATAGGAAAGCCTAAAGACCTGTTACACCAAAAAGTAACCACTCTAGAAAATGTTTAAATTTGATAGTAATGTCACATGGGACAATTCATATTGAGGTATACAATAGATAAACTAACTACTCAAAATAGGTAATAGTGCCTGTGGTTCACTAGATATTGTTTTAGCAAGGATATACATGTGTGTGTGTGGACACAAAACCTCATAAAATCTTTACAGTTGCTTAGTGAGATAAGTACTGTAATTAGCCTCATTTTTAGCAGAGGTATAGAGAGTTAAAGAAATCTGTGAAGATCTTACAGTTAGAAAGTGACGACCTCAGGATGACAAACCTGCTGGGTCTAGAGTCTATCAGTGATGGTGAACCTTTTAGAGCTTGCTATGGAGTGGGTACCATAGGTTCTGCACCCCTGGTAGACTCATAACCACCTCACTATGTTGCCCTCAACTACTTTCCTCCTGTAGTAGAGTTTATTTTAGTTTCAGCTAAGAATTGAGTGAAACTCTAGATGCTCCTTGTTCAATCTTCTGTTTTCTAATTTCAAATTTGTCATTTTCATATACTAAAGTTGAAAATTTTCCTTATATTCAAAAGGACGGGTAAGTCAAAATCATGAGTACACCACAAAGCTCTATCATTTGCTATGCTTTTCTTTGTAAAGAAGCCTTCAGGTTCTTATAATTATATCACTTTCCCGTGTGGATGACAGATGGTGTCTCACAGTGTTGGTGGCCTTGAAGGGACTGGTGAGAGATCCTGCAGTGTCAATGAATCTCTGGCAAACAAGATGAAGAGTCAAAACATAACCACTCCCTTCACAAGAATATGCTCTTGTCAATACCAGCCAGGACGTATCTAGGTTTGGTTTTATTCAAGTAACTAAGTAAGTGTTCCTTATTTCTTTATTTCCCCAGCAAAGCAAGAAAAGAGACTCCCACCTTCTTTAGGTTTCGTTACAACAATTAGCATCGCATTCACCAAAAAAGGTACAGTGCAAGACATACACTTCTCTAATCTAGGATCAGAGCTAGTTGGAAAGGTAAGTATTCTGTTCTTCTCAAAATTTTGTGAGTATGATGAGGATTATGATCTTCCTCAACAGACACTTACAATGCAGGAGTGATTAGGGTTTCTTCTCTGGTTAGGTATTCGATTAACTTTGTTTTGATACATACAGCCAGCTACCTCAAAGCAAGCAATCAACTTCATTTCCCAGTCTTGCTTACTCTGTATTGTGCGTGGCTGTTCTGGAAACTAATATTTTCAGGAATAATAGTTGTAGTTCCTACACTTTAGGATGCTTGCTATAAGGATAAGCATTCTTCTATCCTTAACCCAGTGCCATGAGTAATAATAAATAGATGTGAGAGAAGTGGTTCTCAGTGAAGTAGATTCATGAAGAAATAATGGAAATTTGGGGATTGAGATATAATTTGAAAGAAATGTTCAAACTAATCATTGTTTTTTGGGAGAGGCCAGTAAATATAACAGTGTGAAATTTATAACGTTAAATAAATGCATGAGATTCTTTTTGTTTTGGGTAGAGTTTTCATAAAATTGTTTTAGAGGAAATAAGAAAGTAAAAACAAAGATTTAAAAAGCCACCCAAAATATAAAGGAGTCTTATAAGAAAAAGCACATGTTTAGTTATGACATCAGAAGAGCAAGAAAACAAATCTCAAATAAAATGTTGTAGTAACGTAGTGTGAACTAATTCAGTATGGAGTTATATTTGATGCAATCATCATTTAAATTATGAGTATCATGTCATGGTTTTCGGCCCAGAGCTTTTGGCTTCTTAGTATCTGCCTGGTCATTCAAGTCCTTGAAATACTCTCCCCATAAGTTTTAGTATGTCGGACTTTGATGCTCATACCTTTGCTGCTGCCCAAATGACTACAATTGGATAATGTTTCACTTACGAGAGCTTTTGAAGTCTTTCTTTTTCAGTCTCCTCCTCATCATGGTTCCACGTGGGCTAGTGGAGTAGAGGCTTCGAGGTAAAGTCCCCATGTTCAGAGAACTCAGGCTGTATGCACTCATGGAGGTAGGAGAGAACGATGAAGACACCAAAGCTGCTGTAAGAGAGTAAAGACTTGGCACAGAGCATTCACAGGCAGCACGAGCCTGCCACCCTTGCCAACAAGTAACAACCCGGAAAGCACACATCAAGCAGAACAATGGTTAGTAGCTACCCCACCAGACAGACAGCAGGCCTGAGGAGCAGTGCTCTAGAATCCCAGAGTGGCAAGCATTTGTAAGTACTGAGGAGCAGTGGGATTCCTCCACAGCACATGGGGACACAAAGACTCTATGGATTTTGCCTTAGACAAAATACCGAGGGCTGGGGATTTAGCTCAGCGGCACAAGTGCCTGGCAAGCATGAGGTCATGAGCTTGATCCCTGGTCCCAAACGAAACAAAACAAAAACATTAAATCAAGTTTTTCTCCATGAACAACAACTTAGTGCTTCAAAGACAAAATCATTTTCATAATTTCTGACATAAATTCCAGAAGTGATTTCACATGCACAAAGATCTGTACTGAGCTGTTATTTGCTGCACCACCTATTACACATTTTAAATATTTACATCCTTAATGACATATGCTTTCTAATGAAATCAAAGAAGTCAGAAATAACATGCTACATATTATTAAAAAAAAAAACACGCAACATCCATGAAGCCAAAGATGCAGTGAATTAGAGGAGAAAAGGCTGAGCAGGATAAACCAAAAAGCGGAGGAGAAAGGCTGGAACATTACGAGGGCTGTTTGGAGGAGGCGCTTTCGGGAAGGTCAGGGCGGGCGCGCTGCAATGGTCAGGGTGGTGCGGACTATGGTGGTGGCCTACGTGAAGGCTGCACTGGTTGATGGCCCAGGAATCCCAGGAAAGTTGCCTGTCGCTCCTCTGAATTTTCACTGCCCACATGAAGTGATGATGAGAAATAAGGAAAACAAACACAGAATCAAAAAAAAAAAAAAAAAAGAAAAGAAAAGAAAAGAAAAGAAAAAAGGAAAAAAGTAACTGAATTGCACAAATTAAAAAAAAATAAGTAATGAAAATGAAAGCTGCTTGCAAAGGAAAAATTCCCTTGGCTTTCTCTTTTTCTCAGTGGTCAGCAAAACAGATGATTAACATCAGTAACATGGAAACTTTTCATCTTCCCAAGAATAAAGCGTGCCTTTCCCCAACTCATTTTTTCTCATTTTAAGATGAATATTGAATCAATTTCTAATCTCCCCTGTGCTTCACAGCAGAGATTAAAAACATTTTTTAACTTAAAAATCACTCTCATAAAGATCTATGGCACAGGGTTAGTAATTAAAGATTTGCAAATCCTGGCCAGTTAGCAGCACTTGTTTAGAGGAAAAGAAAAGAACGAACAATAAATCACATTGGTTCATGACTCTGTGGCCAACTAGTCCCACTTCACAATTTATTGCTGTGACATTTTAATTGCACTATGGTCCATCACTTGAACTTGATTTTTCTCAACAATAAACTGCTCTGATCATCTATCAGTATCAGAATCTTATTTGTATCCTGATTAATAAGGAGAAGATAAGGTTTCAATAAATTTTGACTTGTTTTGAGAAAGCATATTTCACTTAAAATATTTAATTTGTAAATTACTTCACATATTTTTATATTCCCTTAAGGAACCATAAAAATTTAATGATGATTACTTCAAAGTTTTGGTGTCCCTTTTAGTTTTTAAAAAGCATGTATCATGCTTTAATTGTAAGTTCAGTGTTAAGATTTGATTTTCTAAGCAGTGTTCTAAATTGTGAGTCATATTTTACACTATGCCTGATGGACAGGTTTTCATTAAGTAATCCAGAGGAGTTGAAAATAACTAAAATTTTATTGCCTGCTTTTATGATTCCATTGTTAGGAATCTTACATGTGAACTATTTTACAGTAGTCACTTTTGTGGACTCAAATACTATGCATGTATGAAGAGGGAGCCATTTAGATAAAAGTGATAACACCCACGAAGAAGGCTTCCCTGGCCTTTCTCATCTTAATGTCACCTGGAGGTTAGGAATGCGTTTACTCTGCAGAGCTGCAGTGAGAGTTATGCACGGAATGAGCTTGGCATGGTGCTGGTCCGCAGGAAAAAACAAATGAGCTATGAGTAATAATATTGATTCTGTCTAGTATTCTACCTACAAACCAAAAATAAAATGCCTTTTAAAGGAAATTGCAGTGTCTCTCACTCAATGAATTTAAATCACTAGACACTCAAGTTTTATGGGATTTGTCAGAAATCTGCAGAAAAACACTTTAGAGCCCCTGTAATTTTATAGTCCTAAATCAACTGGCTGTTTTCTTCTACCCCGCTGTGCTTTCTGGTTGGATTTCTCTGTCCTAGTTCAAGCCACTGTCACTTTCATCCAGATCACTGCAACATCCATGGACGAGGCTCCCTGAGTCACACCTGCCTTCGGGTATTTGTTACACAGCTAGGGTGATACTTTAAATGCAAAGTTAGATCATATCACATTTGTTTAAATTGCTTATCATTAAAAAGATTAATGAGTATGGTCCCTACTCATCTCTTTAGCTCCATGAGTAACACTGTCTTCAGTTTCATGTTTTAGCCATCTAGCCTTTTTGCCTGTTCTTAGAATAAGTCAGGCCTCCTTTCTGCCCCAGTGCCTTTGCATTTGTGAGTCTTACTCCAGTTGTTTGTAGGGTTGGCTCCTTTTCATCAGTTGGATCTCAGCTCAGATGCCACCTCCTTAGATAGGGCTGCTGCTGACCTCCTGGCTAAAGTACCTGCCTTTCCCATGTTATCAAACTGCTGTTTTATATCCTTTATGGGACTTAATACTGCAATATGTCTTGTATCTTGAAATAATTTGTAACTATCTTGTAATATATTTGTAATGCTTATCTCTTCATGCTAGGATGTACATGCCATAAAAATAGGAGGTATTCTGCTTGTCTTGCTCACTGGATATATCCTAGCAATTAGAAGTGTGCGTGAAATATAATGATTGGTGAAGGAATGAATCCATGAATGAATCCGAGAATGAACAAGAATATCATCCCGAGTGTCCACGTCCATACTGTGGCGGCACTTTCCTTTACATTGAAGACGACTCTAGGGAATTCCTTAGTGAATTCTCTTTCATCACTTTCATTCTACTTTGGGGGTGCAGAACAACACTCTTTAACAAGACGCAGTTATTGCTGGACCTGACTAATCTACAATCATAGCTGCTCTGTCTACTTTTAACAAAATAATGCTTCTGTATTTCAAATGAAGCCAGAATACCGTGAATGGACTTCAGAAGTTAACATCCACCCTTTTGATCAATTTATTTATTGTTTTGAAAGTCATGGGGCCTATATTAGTACTACAGAAAGAAAGAAAGGAAGAAAAAAAAGAGAAAGAAAAAAGAAAAAATTATTGAGCATTTATTGCATCCTAGTCTTTACCAGCTATAAGCAGGTGAAGTGTAGGTGACGGCCTGGAAGTGATGGTGGCTGATCCTGGACAGCAGAGGAGAAAACTCAAACCAGAAAGAGCACTGAGACAGAAGGAAAGGGCCAGTTGGTTTAAGGCTAAACCTTTCCTTGACTCTGAGCTATTATTAGGGACTAAACCTTCACAAATATGAAATAATTAAGACAAAAATGTTACAAGATTATGCATGAAACTGCATGCCATGCATTATGAACACAATCAATCTTCCATAAATAAAGTGGGACAAAGAGTGTCTATTTGAATGTACCATCCAAATCACTTGTGTTTTATAGTGCTCTACCTGCTACTCATATATAAGGTAAGTATTTCGGGAGTTTAATAATAAGAGAGTACATTTTTGGCATGCTCTTTCATTCTGTAAAGAACATTCAGAGGCATTCTCTTACTAGTGCAGTAATGATAACTTACCTCCACTGAGTCCTTGCTGTGTACATTCCAGACACTGTGCTAAGTGCTCTTTCGTGGATTAGCTTAGCTAATGCTCACAATACTCCAGTGAGGCAGCTCTTATTTTAACCCTTACCATACAGATAAAGAAGTTAAGGTAGAGAAAGCATGTGATTTGGTTAAGGTCTTGAATAGAGGAGCTAGAATTAAAGCTCTTCATGTCTGTTCCAGAGTCCCTGCCCTCAGCCACCATGCTACCCTGCAGGTATATCTAATTCCTCTATTCCAGAGAAATAAACAAAATGTTGAAAACACAAGGCCTTCCGTGTTGTTTCTTGGTGAAATCATTACTGCAGTCCTAAGAAGTATATGACATAGAAGGTTCTATTTTTTCCCTCTTTAATTGGATCCTTTTGCTCTGTCCAGGACAACTTAGAAAGGCAGTGAAAGCAGTTCTGGTGTCTTTCTTGGAGCTTACAGAGGAGGTATCCTTTTGGTACTGAATGTATCAAACCCAGTGACTCTGGTCAAATTATCTTTTGAAAGTCTCAGTTTCCTTCAATCACAATTATATTTCTCAATGATTCACAGTAGAAACAAATTTTAACCTCGTGGAAAACATTTTTATTTCCCTTTTCCCCTCCTTTCCTTCTTTTTTCCCTTACTCTCCAGGTGCTGGGGATAGAATCCAGGGCCTTGGATGTGCCAGTCAAGCCCTCTACCACTGAGTACATTCACAGCCCTGAAAACTTCTTCACTGTGAATGCTTTGCTACTATCAAAATTTTGGAAATGTGTAATTCCACCTACCCACGGGGTTAGAGAAACACTATCCAGACATCAGAGATCTGAAAAAATAACCAGAAGTTTCTTGTGGAAAAGGTAAATTATGTAAAACTTCACTAATACAAAATAGAAGTTTGAAAATTACAAACACAGCAAAACAATGTATTATTTTTCTTTTTCGACTGCGATTTAATTATGATTAGGAGTCAGTATTTATTTCTTCTTACAAATGCAACTATTATTTTAATGTAAAATGCAGGGGATATGTCTATGTGTTCAAGGAAGACAATGAACTCCTTTCAGCAAAAGTGTATGATGGGTTCGGAAGCTACAGTTACTTAAACTGTCAGCCTCCTACCCCCCAAATATAAATAACATCAGGTTTTCCACAATGAGGAAAAAATGTATTTGGCCATATATTTTAGTATTTAAATTTATTTTTTCAAACTATCTTCACAAATAGGTATTTAAAATTTCGAGTTGGAAACTATGTTTTGTACATAGGGCGAATAAAAGTTAAATTAATGAGGCTGCCAAAGGCAGCAACATTTTTAAAGGGTCTGTTACACATTTCCAATTCACTGATACCAGAATTTAGCAAGCAAAACACACTGCTGAAAAAGCACTACACCGACTGCATTCTGATACCTTCTGTGCTTCAAGTCTAAAGGCAACTTCATATTAATTTAGAAGAAGCTTAAAACAGTTTTAGAAACTACTCAGCCAGTGCTCAGGACAGGCCTGCAGAGGATACTGCTGGGAACACACATATCTCCATGAACGGCACCTTCCTGTAGCTCCTTAGCTTCACGATTCAAATGATGCTGATGCCTGTGCAGCATCGTTTCTCTACTCCAATGTGTAAAATTAAAATCCGATAAGGGTAACATTAAACTAGAGATTTTCATTAGCTCCAGGGCTAAGTTCCATTTAATTAAAAAGGTTGCATCCAGCTGACTCATTCAGTATGAGACTTATCTGCCCTCTCCTCTCCCCCTACATTTTTGTAACTGCAGAGAAGTGCAGTGCAGCTTAGATGTGGGAAACACATAATAAAAATGACCTCCTCGTAAGTGAAATTTCAATACTCAAGGACACTATGCTGTCTCTAAATATACAGAAATGTGTTGTCTCTTTTTAGTCACATGTGCTGATGCTAGGGAGGCTTCCTGTAAAGAAATGGGTAAGGAGAGAATTTGGTCTAAGGACATGGAGGACTTGGAACAAAAACCCCACTGGAGAACCTGGCTTCATTTGATTTGGGGCTTAAAATCCCTTTTGTTATGTCAGCTTTTGTTTAGACATGCCCAGGTGGAGGGCTTATAAAGTCTCAGCAGATATATGTAGCTTCCCTGAGTGACTCTTTTTACTGAATAGATGGAGCGAAAAATTCTGATTCTCCTAGGTGGGATGTTTCATCAGAAAGATCATTGTCATCATAAACAATCAATCTGGCAAACAGATTAAATATATTAAAAGTCAGCCCTTTATATCATTGGGTCCTCACAGTAAGTATTTGAAAGGTTTGTAATTAATATCAATTTTGTCTAAAAATGTGCTTTCCTGCTTGTTTTATCATTCATGTAGATTGGAAATTTAATACAAGTATTAGGAAGTTAAATCATTTCTCTTCTTGCTTCTCTTACTTTGCACCAGGTTTTTTTTTTTTTAATCAAAGAGTACCAGCCCATTCAAACGGAAGTTCTTTCAATTTTGGGCTTCCGTTAAATGACATGTGACTTGGGAAAAGGGGATTTGGATGATGAGGCAGAGTAAACAAAGATAACTTGCCATTTGGAAAAAAATGATAAAGGCAGAATCAAATTCAGTGTGCCACTGCTTCCTAACTCTCTGGATGAAGCAATCCCTGCAAGAGCAAGATAAAGCGACTTATCCGGAGAGCTCCTCTCACCGTGGTCAGGTCCCTTCAGGGCCAGGCGGGTCTGGTGGTGGGGAAGAATCTCAAGCTTGACCTGGTCAGTCGTGTTTGCCAGGAACTGGGTTGCTTCTGCCAGCGTACAGTACTCCATGCTCGTGCCGTCGATGGAGAGGATGTGGTCCCCCACGTGCAGCGCACCGCATCTACGGAAGGAGAAACCCAGGACAGTGAAGTGGCTTCCTCTTTGGAGTATGACTTTCATGTCCTTCATAGAATTTCACACAGTTTTCATTTACTTAAAAAAAAAGGAAAAGTTTCAGTAGTATAAGAAACAGTATTTGTCATATTGGTGTGCATCGCAGTGTTAAATCTTGTGGAGAATATAGAAAAATGCAAAGAAATGTTTTCTCTTGTCCTTGGAATAATACCATCTTAGGGGTCAGGGTGCTGCGTACTGAAGAGAAGTAAGCAAGAGAAGAGTCAGAGAAGGAAACTTTTCCCCTTGAGGTTTTTTTCTCCTAGACTTTTCTACTAACATGAATTGGTCAATACTCAGATTCTCAAGCTGTGGCTCACAGAATTGCAGTGGGGTCATTTTTATGTGTGAATGGAATGAACTGAAATTCAGTGATTACTCCCTCAGAATCCTTTCATATAAGCCCCTAGATCACCAGTACTTCATTTTTGTGTATGATTTTGTTATTCTGGAGTTAAACAGTTATTAGTAAAAAAGCTCTCAATGAGAAAGAAAATTATGCAGGAGTTGAGTGAGTAATAAAACCTGGCCTGCATGGTGAGTCGAGGGGAAAGCTGGGGGTGGGGCTAGCTGCTACATCTTGCTGAACTCAAGAGACTGGCTACTGGATGAGTTGAGAAAAGCAAACACAGCAGTCAGCATCCAGACGTACCAGTCAAGTGGACAGCTCCTTACACTGGTTACCCCCTGTGGAATGGGAAAAAACAGAGGGAGAGAATTAAAGCATCCTGCACCGCTGAGCTGGAGACACCCCTGGATCGACAGCTGCCACTGCTAAATGACTGCATGGAGGGCAGGGCTACAGTGGAGCTGTAGACTGACTGTACGGGGCTGCTGCAGGTCCCTGCACTACCCTTGGAGAATGTCCAGGCGGGCCGAGGGTACGTGGGGAATGGCTGGAAAGTACAGGAGACACTAGTCATCCAGTACATCTAAACATCTCCAGGGTGAATGGTCTGCTTCTCAAGACAAAAGCGTTTCAAGTCATCCTTACCATCTAAAAATATTCCATGTTAATTTACTTGGAGTGCTTCAGCTATGTGAATTGGGGATTTTCTTGCCAAGAGCTGCAGAATAATTTATTAGGTGGGAAGATGGGAAGACAGTCTCTGTCTCTGTCTCTTTCTCTCTCTTTCTTTTTTTTACCTTGCAAGTCTAAAATATTAATTGGGAAAATAAATTTTATTTTTATTGTGACTTTGGAATGAATGATGTTTTAAGAGACCTTGAAGGTTGTGAAACTGTAGTACTAATGTACTGTGAAAGTAGCAGGTCTGTCTTTAAAGACTGGATTATTTAAAAAAGTGTTCTATTTATTTAAGAAAAACAGGAATAAAATTTTATGGTAGCAGGATTTAATTGTTACCACTTCAAAAAACCCTATGGCTTCTCTGCATGGGACTTAATAAAGATCAGTTCAGCTATCCTATATCAAGAAGAGACAATTACCCCAGGAGACAGTAAGAGAACTCACTTTGGTTGCTTGGTTTTTTTCCTATTGCTAAAGGTCACACCAACATCTGGAAAAGTGACATTCCATCATGAGGTGTAACACAGGTAAATTTTTAAGTCTTAAAACATTAGCATGTTTTCCTAGTTGAAATTTATATAAAATGGTAGAAGAGCTGAATTTTTACTGTTTGTGTGGATATGTATGTGCTTGAGTGTGTGTATGCATATGTATGCATTACACATGTGCATACACATACAGGATTTTTAAACACACTGGTAAGTTTGAAAAGTAGGCACTTTCTACGACACTCACCTGTCTGCAATACTTGCAGATTTGATTTTGTCTATGACAATGACCTGTTTGTTACAGCACATCGAGGTAGTGAGAACAACTCCAAGGCTGGCACCAGGAGTTTTGGCAACTTCAACTAGCAGCGGCCCGGATGCTGTTGCCACAGTGTCTGTCAAAGAACATATTTCAGAAATTGAACAGATTAGCAAACAGACAAAAGAAAAAAGAGAATGTTTGCTTTAATGTTAGCTTGTTAATTTTACCCCTGAAGCTTAGGCTTTCTTCCATATATAATTCTCACAGTTAGTGTTACCTAAGGTCACCTCTTAGGGTACCTGGTCCACTCAGCTTGTATCGTAGCAATACGGTAATCTCTTAAATTAGGTTTCGAGTTTCACGTCAGTTGGGGTAATGTCTTATGTACCTTTATGTCCTCCACACTGCTACCATGCCTCACACATACTAGGTCTCTCAGTAAGTGCTTAAAAATTAATCAATTTAATAAATATCTCAACCTATTACATATAAGTAGATGTTAGGGTTGATGAAGAAAGGATAGACTGAAGAAAGGAAGAAAGAAAACAAGGGATGAATAGAACAATGAATAACAAATGATGGATAGATGGATGATGTCACTAATTTGTCAAATGGGAATAGGTAAACTACGTGCAATTTGTAAGCTCTTGGAACTTTCCCAATTCTCATTGTGATTCAGCATCATTGCCTGATCAGAAGCGACTTTAGATAGGCTTTGGTTTTGGTTTGTAACATTATGCATTCCTTCAATTTCCACTGATCAGTACAGGTACCAGTATAAACATCAATTCTCTGGAAGTTTTTTCAACTCATGATTTGATAATATGCTTTTCACCTGTGCTCCTAAATCCTGTATTAGTTCTGTTATAGAACACTGCCCTGCTGTCTTCTAATGGTGAATTTAGATTACATCTCTCCTTTGCCAGATTTTAAGCTTGTATTGAAGGCAGAGATTATTTTTGCTGATAAGAGAATTCTCAATGCGTGGCATAATAACTAGCACATAGGAGATAAATAATAGCTGTAGAATAAAGGCAAGAACAAATGAGAAAGCTTTTGATATAATTTAAAGCTCAGAAGAGAGTTGGTATATGGAAAAGGGTCTTGGACATGGAGTTAAAACATTTGTATTTAATTCTTATTTTCACAACACTGATTTTATAGACAGTTACTGAAATGTTCTAAGTCCAAATGCTTACTTGTAAAATGGTATTTTCCACAATGTTTATTATAATCAATGTGTTATATACTTAAAGTATTTTGATATGTATATACAATATTATTGAGATATTATAACTTCAAATATTTGAGTCATTCCATTTTTCAAAACTGTGTATTGGCCTATATTTTTCTTATTTTTCTACTGCTCTAGTGTTAGAGATTTCATTAATCAATTTTGTTTTCCACAAGTACATCTTCATCACCAAGGTAACACTCAGAGACAGTGAACTGGGAAATCTATTTTTCCGTGGCTAAAGCTAAGGTGATATGCACTAGTTCATGAAGATGAATGGTCTATGTGAAAGCTATTTTCAGTGTGAGAACAAGGTATTTCCTAAATAAGTTAAAGATGAGAATACATATGCCAACAACATACATATTCCAGTGCTACAGGTACTTGTGTTACATTTCCTAAACAATCGATAATATTGAAATAAATTAGTCTCTTTGCCTAAAAGGCAAAGAGAACATTAGAACCTGAATCTTTTTCTATCAGCTCCAGGGCAGAGTCTCACTAATAACAGCTGTGGGGAATCAGTGGTCTTAGTCTAACAAAAGGGACTTCTGATCTTAGGTGTTTATGGCTGTTTACCCCATAACCTGTGACTGACTCACCCATTCTAACTCTCTGGTGACAACCACTCTCTGGTTTTGTTCACCTTGTTGTATTAGGTGCTCTTGTCTCCTGACATCAGTCTAGAGCCTTGAAAACACTTTGCTTTTCTCTCCTTTTGCATTTCCTGCTTTGTTTCTGTCCAGTGCCTCATTGGTCATGGTTCTGTCCTGGGTCCTCCTTACTTCCATGGTAGAGTCAGTAGTGAGTGCCCGTGTGCTGTGTACAACAATGGTTTACACTGCACCTCCTCGACTGGGTTTCCCAATAAAGAATTTTAGATAGTTCTCAAAAGCATTGTTTTAGTAGAGCCCATCTCCCAATTCTGACAGATGTCTGCTGCTGAGCCAAGCATAACGTTCGTTGGTAACTTTATGTTGCTTATGGCTTGCTGTCCTTCTCATCTTGAGCAAGCCCCTGGAAGTCTTACTCCTCTGACCAAATCCTTCATGACTTCTGACTTACTAGGGACTTTTATCTCATTATGTTTCTGAAACTTCAAAATGACTAACTTTTTATTTTTCAGACCTCTTCCTATAGTCTTGTTGGATTTTAATAGGTTTGTGAGATGTCAATCAGTTGTTTTTCCTCATGGTTCTATCATGTCTAAAGATTAATCTGTTTTGCTTAGCAGATGAATGTAAAAAAGTTTCCATGTTAATTATCACTAAATATCTTGATCTTTCCATTTAATGCTACAAATGGAAAATTCCAGATCATGAAACTTGATTTTCATTCACAGAATTACATAAATATTGTATGAAATCACCTTCAGCTATGTGTATAAGGTATAATTGAAACACAAATAAATTTCACATTTATACTAGTGTTTTGTCCACAATATGTCATTATATACATGCAAATTTTCTAAAATCTGAAGAAAAACCCCAAATCTCAGACACATTGGGTCTAAGTATTTTGAGTAAGGAATATCCAACCTTTATTATGATTAAGTATCAGAGTTTTAAAACAGATTTTCTGAAGTTATTCCTTTTTCCTGACTCCCAGCTGTCAAAATATAGAACCTTATGTTTTTGTATAATTCTACTGACTCACTTGTGGTGAAGAATTAATATTAACTTTTAGAAAAAGAAGATAGGAACAAGGAATCAAGAAATCGAGGAAGAGGGTGCCAGGTCCTTTGTCACCACTGGTGCAGAGGGGAGGAAGATGGCTCAGCCAACAGAAACTGGAGTAGGAGTTGGTCTCTTTCTTATCAAGGCATTAAAAGAACAATGAGTGCAGTACTTTCATTTGCGGAAGCAAATGTGCAATTAATAAATTCTCTTAAAATTTAAAGTAGAAAGCTTCAGAACTCCCAGGGAAGTGAAATTTAATGGCATGGTTCAGGGAACAGACTGTGTGGCTCAGGCCCAGAAGCCTGAAGGTGGCCCTTGCTGTGCCACCAACTTGTCATGTGACTCAACCCATATTTCACATCTCATTTGTTCATTTGTAAAATGAGGAGCTAGTATAGCAGTACAAGCTCCCTCAGGGACAATCAATGAACCCACAGAGAAAGAATGATGTTAGGCAAGTAAGAGACAATTGTCCAGTTAGAGAAAATGAAGGAAAGGTAATCAATTTTATAAATACACAGAAGCTAGCCCTTCTAGCAAGAAACTCTGAAAGCTCTATCTCCTGATTCACAGATCACGCCAAATAGTGTAATGGCTAATGCCCTAGACATACGTTTATAATAGGATGCATAAGAGATTCCTTGATCAAAGCTGAGGCAACAGTAGTGAAAAGCAAATCAACGATGGTGTCTCCAGCAAAGAACAAGCTGGTATATTGTCTTACTCAAAGACAGATGCTAGGGTAGATGAGCTGGCTGCCTCACTTAGGTTTCTAACAAAAGCTAGATGTTAGACAGGTGGATGATGGTACGCTGGCATTTTATGCAGGTGTCTAGAACCAAAAAGAAAAAATAGATATTTATCCAGATAAAAGGCCACCAGTCCATAGCCTCAATGAAAGGCAGTAGGCTGACTGCAAGCTCAGTTGCTATTCATGCAACAACATAAATTTTAAAATTATTTTAATGAATGCTAAGTATATATCAGGCACACTGAAGGGTACTAGGAATTTAAAGATGAAAATGTAGTGTCCCTTCTATTAACCCTTGGGAATCCCATGTCAAGAAGCAAGGAGAAGGGTGGAACTATTTGACTCTACTATAAAAATATATTCTCATGAACTTTCTAGTCATTTTTTTCCATTTTTGGTTGCAGGATACATAATGCTTGTAATACTCCCTTCTCTCACCTCACCCAGTAAAATATTTAATACTGTAAGGTCAAAATCATTAGAAACGCTGGTTATCTATTTGGATATGAAATTTGTGTTTCTCAGAACATGACTTAAACATGCCAGAAGGGTCAAGAGATCCACAGAAAGTTGGCTGATGTTTCTTGTGCTTAAAAACTAAAGAAAGGCAATCATTATTACCAAATAGTGATGGCAAATATCAAAGGAATGGCAGTGAAAGATGAGCAACATGAGCTGGCATGGTTGGGATGAGTTTATTAACATGATACAAAATTTGATCTGAATGTTTTTTGGTGGACTTCATTTTAATCGGTCCTAGGAAAGCAACAAAACTATTTTAGGCAGCACTGCTTTCCAGTATTACCCATGTGGCAGTTACTTTCTGCATCACAGAAGGGGATCTACAAAATGTTGGCATTTAATGGATCATTAGCCTCTTCTGGCAACTGTTTTCCATAATAAATATTTCCCCACAACATCAAGGAGCACATACTACCTTATGATATGAAGCCTGTTTTCCTAGCCGCTAGCCAATCGTATTCACAGAGAACCTAATGAAAAGTAGGGCTGATAAAGCCCTAGCCTTATTTCAAAATGTCTAACGAGATGTGTGGGAAAAATAAAAATAAGCAGACAGGGTGGATGAATGGGTGGGGAACTCTTATTTAAGAAAATGCAAGAGAAAAAAATGGAATGTGTCAAAACAAGGAAAATAAACAGAAGAAAAATCAGGAAGAAATAACCAAGTGCCTGTCTCTAGACAGATGATTAGTTTATTCTGCTGATGAGAAGTATGGCTGAAAAAGTGGCTCATAGAGACATAAATTATTCATGGTTAAAGACATCTCAGTCATTAAGATATTTACACCACGAGTGAAGCCCTTGCTCGCTGTTGATTTATGAGCTATATAATTACATGAGATACGCTGATGACTGTTTGCATGGGAAACATTCTAGATTTTTTATTTTGTTAATCAGTTTTCCGACTTCTGAGCCTTGCATTGCAATAAGTGTTAAGACTTGATTAG